GTGAGGTGCCTCCGCCGTCTCTCGACATTAGTAAGTAGCTTCTCTCGCACGGCGAGCCAAAAGAATTGACGTATCCTCTGCGGGCCAACCCATTTCCAAATGATGCGCCATGTACGGCTATGGGATGAGCCTATCGGGCCTGCGCGAACTAGCGATGCGTAAGCCGATTTTGTCGTAAAGGAGCCATTTTATGAGAATCCCCAGTACATACTGTCAGGCCCAACCGTATGTGAAGGAGGCAAGAAGGCTGCTATGCGTAAGGAAACAACACCGGGACCAAGTGTCCAAATAAATCCCACCTCCACTGGCCCGAAGCGTCCACGTAACAGTTGACCGACAAATCAATCAGTTGCTCGGGAATCGGTCTCAACGCCTCACAGATGAGAGGACGGGGGCTGTGCATCCAATTATCCCACCAAAATCGGACGGTAGTTCCATCACCAATCGACCAACGCACCCCATTACGTACAAACAACCATACCTTGTGTAGCACCCAGAGAAGAGGAGAACCGCGTGGAAACACATAGTCTGCATCCATCAATGCGGGCACCAATTTATACTTAGCAACGAGAAGTCGCACCCAGAGAGAGTGAGGCTTAGTTAAAAGAGACCATCCGAGCTTCATCAGAAGGGCCATATTCATTTCTCGCTGGCGTTTAAGACCCAGGCCGCCAACCTCCTTAGGTTGACAGACCGAATCCCAAGATACAAGATGTATTTTCCGGTTCGAACCATTGCCGCCCCCCCCCCACAAGAAATTCCGACACCGCTTCTCCAAGTCTTCGCATGTCGTGGAAGGCAACCATGCAGTTTGCATGGTGTAAAAAGGTAGGGACCATACCACAGATTGCGTAAGGACTAGGCGGCCGACCAATGACAACGTGTTAGCCTTCCAACCGGCCAGTCGTGCATCCGCCCTTTAAAGAACATGTTCATAAGTGTGTTTAGTAACCCTATTATGCAGAACCGGGACACCAAGATATTTGCCAAGATCAGTCACGACCGAAAAGCCCATGGATCGAGCTAAGGCCTGTTGATGTTCCGGGTTGGTGTTCTTCGAGAAATAGACTGTTGTTTTGGCACGACTCACCCGGAGTCCCGACATGGCACAGAAATCCTCCAGCACCGAAGAAACCAAAAGTGCTTGATCATCATTCGCTTCCAAAAACAACAAAAGGTCATCCGCGAACATAAGGAGTGGGACACGGACCTCACCTCTCCCAACCGTGAAGGGTCGCCAATCTCCGGCCTCGACATGGCTGTGGATGAGATGTGCCAGCCTTTCAATACATGAATTTTATATCTGTAAGAAACTGGGAGAAAAACGAATGTTGTCCCATGCAGATGAAACGCACCAAGACAGGGAAAGTCTAGATGAAGTGCCAGAGGAATTTCGTCCCAAAACCAATTGGTGGAAGGAGAAGTAACCCACTAAATTTACAAATTAGACTTATTTTTCATATATAAACGATGTGAAACAACTCACAAGTGAATATTCTAATACGCTCCTTCACTTGTGAGTCATTCATAAGAAGTCAAGCTCATATACGGAGCCAAGTGTCCAAGTCCTACTATAAACGGGTACGTCACGCACAGTCCTACTCCCACATAAAATCAGCTCTGATACCATTTAAAAAACGCGTTGGGTAACCTTAAGAAGGATTCACAAGTGATTATTCAAATAATATTGAAATCATATCAATACAATTTAGGTAAAGAAAAAAGAGAGATAAAAGTTGTATACTTTTCCGAAAAAAAAAATATGTGGTGAGTCCACAATGAAATTTCCATCATTTTTTTTTTTTTGCAAAAATGAAATTTCGTCATTTGAAAATTGTACGCTGAATTACTACAAATTCGAATTGCTAAAATAAATAAAAATTAATGTTTTTTATTTGTATTTTTTTCAAAACACACACATATACACAAAACGAGAATGTTCGTAACTGAAAAGTGAAAAGGAGCAAGGGCGATTTCGTCTTATAGACGACCCCACCCAATACCCATTGGTCAAACGGGCAACCCCAGTGAATTCATCCTTAGCCAGCCATGGTATTTGGAGTGTTGCCCCGATTAATTTATTGGTCGACCCGAATCGCACACCTAGCAATAGTAGGTGAGTCTCCCAACAATTTTTTTTTGCATTTACAAAGACTCGAACCCGAAACTTTGTTTAAGCGACATCAAATTGCTTAACACTTGAGCCAATTCATGTTTGATACATTTTTTGCATGATGAACATGGGAAACCAGACCTCCCCACCACGTGTCGCTTTCTCATTCGTCGTCCTCACCTCGTCGGGATTCACAGTGTTCGTACTCAATAATTTCCTCCCCACAAATGCAAAGCAAAAGAAAAAAAACACACACACACACACAACAAACTTTCTCTCTCTCTCTCTCTCTCTCTCTCTCTCTCTCTCACACATACACACACATTGCACCTACCTCTGTGTTTTCTCTCTCTAAAACAGTAAACAAGAAAGAGAGAACTGACTTTTTTTTTCCCCCAAAATCCCAGCATTCTTCAGCTAGCAGCTTCAATTTTCCGATTACCATCAATGCGTAATCTCTCAATCGGGCCCAATTGAGAACCCTAGTGTGTGTTTGAGGAACTAAACTGAAAAAATAAAATAAAAATGCTTCAAGTAGCTGCAGTGGGGAGCAATGGTGGATTTTCCGCGCATTCATCGCAGCTGCAGAGCTTTGGGGACAGCAGCGAGGAGGAGCTCGCCGTGCTTCCGCCGCACACCAAGGTCGTGGTGACCGGAAACAACCGTACCAAGTCCGTGCTGGTGGGGCTTCGTGGCGTCGTGAAGAAGGCTGTTGGCCTTGGTGGATGGCACTGGCTGGTAAAAAAAGTTGTCTGCATAGTGTTTGAGCTTCGTCATCTTTTATATTCTGCTTTTGTGTAAATTGAAGCTTCTTTGACGTCAGATTCGTTTTATTTATTGTAAATTGAAAAGATACACTGATTAATAAAAAAAAAAAAAAGATTCACTGACAGTGATATATTTTCTTGTATATTAAGTTTTTCATGATTAGCTTATCAATCAATATTTTAAACAAAAATGTATTGGGTTTTGATGTTTATTATTGCTGTTTGTGTTTAAGTTATTCTTGACAATCCCTGCAATTGTTTCATTAACAATTAATTTCTGCAGATATTCACTTGTATAGTTTAATAAAAAAAAAAAAAATTGTTTTTTTGTGTTTCATTGTGCTAAATCTTCATGTGATTACCCTTTATTAGTCTATTTATATCAAATTTTTACTGGGAAGTTAAATTTACCTATTATGGTTAATGGGATATTTGGTTTGTTTCAATTAATTTGCCACTTTGTCTCTGCAGGATGCATTTATTTAGATCCCAATTTGGTTAAGTTTATTGAACACAAACATTTTAAGTTTAGCTGAACTCATCATCTTAATAGGATATTGAATCCTTATTTGAGGTTACTAAAACACAGGTTCTCACAAATGGGATTGAGGTAAAGCTGCAGAGAAACGCTTTAAGCGTAATCGAAGCTCCTACAGGGAATGAAGACGACGACCCTGAATTCGAACAGACACTGGGGAACAGCTCAGGTACTGTTGAGATTGGTTATATCTTTTGTTTCATTGTGGAAATTTAGATTCACTTCTGGACATTTGCTATGGTTGAACGAGATGTTATGCCAAATTATGCGAATTTGTTATCTTATTTTCCAGTTTCAAATGCTGATTATAATCCGGACATTTGTCGTGTATTTTGGCTTGATTATCCAATGGCATTGGTCTTTTTGTAAGAAAATTTATATTTCTACAATTACACCAAAATGAGATGATTGTTGAGATATATGTTGCATAGGATTCTCTATATTCATATTCCAATCCCTTTTATCTTTTCTCTTTTCCCACTGTTTTTCACAAGCTTTACTGGTCTCTAATCTCCTTTTTGCCTTTTGGGCCCACCATGTATAATCTGATTATCTTTCTGTGGCTAATGTTCTTAGCATCCGAGGATACTCAAAAGTCGTATAGATCAAGGCAACGTATGCAAAGGTCATTTGGTTCGTCCCATAAGACTCTTAGTCGGTCTCTCTCATCGGACTCACACTCCAAAGACTCTGTTTCGACTCGTAAGGGATCACTGGTGAGCAAAGATTACTTTTTCATCCTTTTCATCTACCCTTTTTTTCTTCCCTTTTGTCAAGTCTTGTAGTATTTAGAGTGAAAAAAACGGCTGGAACTTGATAACTTCTTGCACCAGAATGTTGACCTCAGCAAACTTGAGAAGGGCGCATTGTGGAGATATTTGCGGCACTTTAACCTTGTGAGTTTTTCGGTTCCGTATGACAAGAAACATGATTCATCTTTCATGTGTACTTGGCAGATTATATTTCTTTCTTTTTTACTTAGAATAATTTTCTGTCTATTAGGTGGATGCCATTCATAACCCTTCGAAAGAGCAACTTATCGATGTTGTCCAAAAGCATTTTGTTTCGCAGGTATAAAAATTTTATAATCATACATTCTGTCATCAAATTACCTTTTGAACGTGATCAATCGTGAAGAAATTTGATTTTTTTTTTTTTTTGTTCGTGCAGCAAATGGACGAGCTGCAAGTCATCACGGGTTTCGTGCAGGCTGCCAAAAGGCTGAAAACGGTTTGCAAATGATATCTTTGTTTTCTATGCTGACTGACTCTTTAACTAAAACCAACTATGATTTTTCCTGAATGTAAATTAAACCTTGAAGACGTACTGTCATTTTATTTGCATAGCTTTAGTTGTAGTTAATGAATGTATATATATTATGTAAAACCAGTAAAATGACCGTCTTTGTTTGGTTGAACGTATGGGCGACTCGACTCGGTGTTTGGAACTCTGGTTAAAGTTGTATGTATGGGCCTAAATGCTGATGCAAGTTCAGTGAATTTTTATGCAACTGTATTTATCTTCCAAGATGTTATGTTGCATTTTTTGCTATTTAACATAAATTGTTTGTTAGAATATCATTTGTGAGTTGTCCCACATTGTTTATATAGGGAAAATAGGTTCAACTTTTATAAGTCTAGTGAGCTATTCTTTTATCAATTAATTTTCGGATGGAACCTCACCTAAGCTTCATCTGGGCTTTTTTGGTTTATGGTGCGCTTCACGTGCGTGGGACCGTCACCCGTTTTCCCCCAATTTCAGCGAATTTTTCATTGATTTAGAAATAAATGAAAATTCAGTGTATACAATGTCACATGAGTATCTTTAATAGACTCATTGCAAAACGAAATAATTCAACAAATGGAAACATCAATAATTAGGTGACAAATTGTTAATTATATAATAGTATACGCGTGATTATCTTTTTGTCTCATACTCCCCCACAAAGCATGTAGAAAAAAAAAGGAAAAAATAAAAAATAAAAGAAATTATTTTGAAAGCAATAGAATAGGAAAAAAAGAAGACATTAAAAACGCTGCTAAAAGTGCCGATGGACAAAAGTGAAAAAAAAGGCAACAGACTTGATGAGATGAAAGGTCATTTTTATTTTTTTTTTAAGCCAACCACGGTATTCGAAGCTATGCCTCGACTAATCCGTTGGACGACCCGGGTCGCACACCTGACAGTGGTGGGTGAGTCTCCCAACAAGGATTTTCTGCATCCACAAGGACTTGAACCCGAGACCTTGCTTAAACGACATCAAACTGCTTACCACTTGAGCCAACCCCTGTTGGTAAGGTCATTTTTATCATTAGCCTAATTCAACAATTGACATTGCATTATTCACATCCAACATTCGACCATATGTATTGCTCAACTATCCAAGTTGACACAGGATGTTGACTCCTCTGATAATATTTTTGTTGTGAGTAAAAAACTGAAACTTGATGATTTGGCTAATGCTGAAATGGTGGAGGAAACCAGCCATAACTGGTCCCAAAGTGGCCAATGAAGGCTCTGGTGTGGAATTGTAGAGGTTTGGGAGGACCCTCTACAATTTCCCAGCTTAGGGATTCCTTAAGGACCCATCTCCCTGATTTTGCTTTTTTATCTGAAACAAACAAAAAAAA